TTAAATGCTATGTCGGGCGCCTTGGGCCTGGTCGGGCGTCTCGAGCAGGCTTTTTGGGCCATCTCAGGCGTCCTGGGCAGGCTTTCAGCCTTTCTGCAGGCCGCCTGTGGCCGGCAATAAATGCTCAGTCTTGCCTGACACCAGATACGCATCTTCAATGACTCTCTGCCTTTCTGGTTGCTCAGTCGCTTTATGTCAGGTATAAATAGAGGGTGGTTGGGGCATTAAATGCTATGTCGGGCACCTTGGGCCTGGTCGGGCATCTCGAGCAGGCGTTTTTGGGCCATGTCAGGCATCTTGGGCAGGCTTTCAGCCTTTCTGCAGGCTGCCTGTGGCCGGCAATAAATGCTCAGTCTTGCCTGACACCAGATACGCATCTTCAACAGCTCTCTGCCTTTCTGTGTTGCTCAGTCGCTTTATGTCAGGCGCCCTTATCTATTTCTCGGGTTTGCAGTCGGTCAAGGACCGCCTACTGACCCGGTCTTTAGATCGGGCCTGGCCTCCTTATTGGGCCTTAATTGCTGACTCACCTCTCTTGGGCTCGAAGCCCAAGTACGCTCAACTATGCAGCCCAACAACAAGTTTGAGTAAAAGTTGATAGGTTTCAACGTGAGGATCTTGCCATGACTGCTATGCCTCAATCACTAATCTCTGTTGACGTTGACTTTAATACATCATATTAGGTTATTAGTGTGAATTGTTGGGTTCATGGAGCCTTTACACTCTTTTGGTGTGTTGAGTGCACCATGCCACTTATAAACCTTACATCCCATCTCTTTGGGACCTGGGATGGCGTAGTCTTGATACCGCTAGGCCATTATGGTGGCTTAATCATGCCAAACCTTATAATTTTGCTAAGGTATGAACCAATACCACGCATGACAAGACAAGGGGTTATGATGATTGGCATGGGGTATGATTGATAGTAGTTGAGTTTAACTAGGAGGGCATGATGTTATTTTGACCTCAATAGCTTCAAAAAATACCATGCCAGGTGATTTAAGAATGACTATGGGTGTTGGTTGTCACACTGGCATGGGAGCACGGTTTGTAACTAGATGGAAGAAAGACCATGGGGTCAAGATGGTTTGTATAAGAGATTTTAAAAATCATTTATGTCAAGAAAAAATTTGGGTGATGAAGTCTCTCACAAGGAGGAGGAGACTAAGGATCCTAACCAAACTCATCACACTTACCGAGGAAAAAAGGGATCCTAACTAAACATGGTAGTTAGGAGATGATATGGCGTGGTTGCCAAATTGATGGACATCATAATAATCAATAAATCAGTTGATTGCCAAGTTAGCCTAATGTACTAAGGAGAAGAATTCCCCTTTCCTTCAGGCAACTAGACGAATGATTAGTAGGAGGAAAAAAAAAAACCTAAGTCCTCCTCGCCATCTTGTGATTCAATGAGGCCGGTGAAGAGCATTGATGGTTGGCTCAATGCGAGAAGGCTAAACGAGTTTGGGAATTAAGTGTTCTTGGTATAATCAAGTCTGGTACGTGGTCAAATGAGGCTTGATAAAAGAAAAGAGAGAAATAATTGAACTCGCAGCGGAGTGGTTGCACGAAGGAACAAGAAGATGATTTGTTGATTATCACTAGTGGTTGTGCGAGCTAAGTGTAACAAGGATGCAAAGAAAAAGAAAAAATGCTTTATCAAGCTTTTCACGTTATCATTTGGGTGATAATGACTTGTGTTTATTGGGTTTTTTTAAGCCAAATCGTGACCGCATGAGAATTTTCTTTTCTCTATGGTTTGATGAGGGTGCCATAATAACGTTGGTGCTTGAAATCAAGTGGTTAGTTGTATTCAACAACTTAGTGTATAATCTTTATACACTAAGTTGTGGGGCAATTGTTTACTCATAAGAACTCAGTTTGTACCAAATTGGTTAAAAAATAAGGAATTAATTGGCTTTATAAGGCCAACTTAATTATAACAATTAAAATCAATTAAGGTGGGCCACGCGGATTGGGTTTTTGTGCTCATTACTCCATGCCATCACGCGTGCCATACACCGCAAAATTTGGCTAAGTGTTAGAGCCACCCCCAGGAGGTGCCGAGGGGGGTGGCCACCATACCGCCACCCCCAGGAGGTGGCAAAGGAGGTGGCCATCATTCGCCAACCCCCATGACGTGGTAAGGGGGGTGGCCACCATCCAGCCATCCCCAGGAGGTGCCAAGGGAGGTGGCCACCATCCGTCCACCCCTATGTCGTGGTAAGGGGGTGGGTACCATATGATGTGCCGAGGGGGTTGAACATCATACTGCCCCCCCCCCCCCCCCCAATGGCGTGGTCATGGAGTAGCCAGCACAACCCCCTAGGATGACATGAGGGAGTATGGTGAAGTTGGATGGTGGGATGTGATAAGGTAGGGTAGAAATTTGGCTAAGTATGGAAGATAACGAGGATGACAAAAAGCCACCCCCATGGTGTGGTCAAGGGGGTGGCCATCAACACACACCCCCATGAGGTGATCAGGGGGTGGTGATCAACTTACACCCCCCTCACAACCCCATGAGGTGATTATACAAAGTGGAGTCAAGTGGCAATGGGTCACCCTTTCACGCCTTAGCCATTTTTCTCTGCAGACAAGCAAAGTTACGAAGAAGATACCAAGAGTAGGGAGTGAAGTTTCAAGAGGTGGGCACTACCGTCGTTAGGGAATCAGTGGAGCAGTTGAAGAGAGTAACCATCACTCCACATCAACAGAGCAGTTTTTTGAAAGCAGTTACTTCTTGTGGCTACAAATAAGAGGTGAAGACAATAGAGGAAGGGTTCGCAAAAATCACAACTCGACACCACTTGTCAAGTTTTATCATTTTCTCTTTTCCTCTGCAGATTTTAGCCATAGTCATAGTTCTGGAGCCCTCACTGAACCTCCATAGAAGTAGGGCTAATTTAATGTAGATTCGCCTCGTAGTTCATCAAAACATTGAACACCCTTGTTTGAACTTTGTTCAAAGAGGTGTAAAGTGTGTTGTTTAATCGTTTGTTTGGAAGTCAAAAGTGCAAAATCCAATTCTGTCCATCTACATTTTCTCGTCGGGAAAACTACAATCTCCACCGAATAATTTCTACAAGAAAATATCGTGAAAATTGTCTGAATAGTGTTTGTTATCAATTCGAAGACAAATCTTCAAATTTGTGCAAGTCCCACCCATCCAACCCACCCAATACTATATATTGTCAGTGAGTAAGTTCTCGCCTAAAATATGCTGATCAACTCATTTAGAGGTCGTTTGGAAGTTGCGAATGTTAAGTCGTTGCATTGTAATGAATCACAACAAAATAAATATATGTATTGGTACAATTGATGCATTTTAATAATACATTGTTTGGTTGATGAGATTCTACATTATGTATTGACAAACATAAAGTTACTTTATGTGAAAATGTCACATTATCCTCAACTTTTAGTATAAGACAAAAACTAATAGAGATATAAATGGAAAGAAAAAGTGGACACAAATCTAAAATCAACAATCTCAACTTTTAGTTGAGATTGTATAATGCATCATTTTTTGTGATTATTGGTGGGACCTACCTAAACAATACATGCATTGTTTTACACTTTGACACTTCCAAACATTGTATTGTGGATTTGTGGACAATGCATGTATTGTAATATACATGCAATTAAGGAAAATAATATAATGTACTTTACATTGTTTGGTTTTGGTGATAGTTCTTTTAGTATTCAACACGCAACTTCCAAACGACCCCAACAATCTTCTCAAAACTATCTCACCATTCTCAAGTTTTAGTAGAGATAGTACTATCACTCATTTTGAGTGATAGTTTCCATCACATCAAGCAAACAATGCATGTATTGTTTGTGTAGAAAATTCAAAAAAATGATGCATTGTGGACAATACATGCATTGTAACTATCCCAACCAAACTATCACCAAAATCAAACGACCATGAATAAACACAACTCTAACAATCACAACTACCAAATGACCCCTTAATTAATACCCATCTCCAACGATAGTTGTTGCATTCAAAATCAGGGTGAGAGGAGTATGCATATGCTTCCACCTAAGTTAAACATAACAATTTCGATCTATTTTTTAGTCTTGAGGCGGAGTGTATTGCTCTGCAAATTATCACGATAGCTCTTCTCGTAGCATATTGGTCCATTAGTAATTAGGTTATTAGGATCCTTGCTTACGAGATTCATTCTAGTCCCAACGGTAGTACACCTGATACGACCCTGGGGGGTGTATTTTTACCAAAGTAACGCATCAAACGACTCAATCGAAGAATCGATTGAGCTCGAATCAAGAACGAAGCGCTCTTAATACGAACTTGGGATAAAACGGAACCAACGGACAATTCCACACCTGGGGAAAGCTCGTATGGTATAAAAGGGTAGCTGCTCGACCACGATTGAAGAGAATATTCAATCGATACAAAGCTCACAAGTTTGGAATCCACCAAACTCAAACAAGTCGCAACTTGCACAAAACCAAAGGGTTTGTTTTTCGATTAATCAAAGTCTGAATTTTTACAACGAAAATACAAGACTATTTATAGCCAAGAAAACCTAATACAAACCTAGATGAACAAGGAAACTAATTAGAACAGAAAAAGGCTAAATAATTCGTGTAAAACAAGAAAACTTGCTGGCCAAGAAACTGACTTAAAACGCAAGCAAGTCTGCCTAGGAAAACAGGCTTCATAGCATCAATGAGCCCTTCGAAAATGGTCTTCTAGGTTGATTCGAACTCAACCAATTCCTTTCCTCTGTAGAAGAAAACTTCCTATTTCACCTCCAACTTGAATCAGCCCAAGATCATTCTCCAATCTCCAGATATAGGCCTTCAAAGTTGGTATCTCAAAACAGTTTTCTGCCTTAGCCAAATTCAGGCAGTTTTCCTGTTTTGAGGTAGCCTTTTGATGGGCTTTGAAAGTGACCTTCCAGACATATCCTTGAGCTCCAAAACATACAAATGTAAAGATAATAACATTATCTTCAAAACAAGATATTAATATCCCATTTTTATTAAGCCATTTGTGAGATACAAGCTTCCAAAGTAGGCTACCTAAAACTGTTTCAACACTTAGCCAAAAATCAGAATTCTTCATGTGAGTTGAGATGACTTCTTTGGTAAGTAATTTTGAATTGTTGATTGATCCAAGTGGGATCATATCAGGCTCCCCCTCTTCAAAAAGCTTTGACCTCAAAGGTTGAAGCTTCTTCTTGTCAAAAACGTCACAGAATTGATCCCAAAGTGGATCGAAAGTAGGTTGCTCAAACTCAATTTTCGGCATAAAATTTGAAGCTTCAAATCCTTCTTCAGTCAACTTCAGCCGTGTCGTGGGACTCCAAGGCTCACCTGTCACACTATAATCCACAAAATTTGGACCCAAAATCAGTTCGTGCACATTTTCGAACTCCGACGAAGATTTTCCAGAATCCGGTGACTTTGAGTTTTCCGGCGACTTCTTCGAATTTGGGCATTTATGCTCAACGCCTTCTCGACTCAATTCAAGGCTATCGTCGTATTCGCCTTGATTCCAGGAAGCGACCTCATCCAATTCTAGGCTTCGAACCTGCCCGAAACGTTGCCAATCGTCATCGTCGAGTTTCCCGCCGTCGGGAAGTTCAAATTTCCCAGTTTCCGGCGACATAAACCCAGAAACCGGCGAACAATTTCCAGAAACCGGCGACCCCAAAATTGAATTGGGCATTTTTTTATTTCGGCTTTTCCAAGACGAATTGATCGTCCCTACTCCTTCCTTGGACCTCCATAAACTTGTCCAAAGCCTTCTTTTTCGCCGATTCGCTCCCAATCGCTCCAATCGATGCGTTCTTTTCTTCTTCAAACTTTCTTCCAAAAAATTTCAATTTGGGCATTTCTGATTCAGGCTGCGTCAAGATGAATTGATTGCTTAGACACGTTCCTAGGATCTCCCTTGATGTTTCTGTAGCGCCGAATTGGGTCGAATCGATCTGGGTTGCTTCACCCAAGAGAGGGTCCTCGTTGGCCATTTGCGTCACGAACAGAGGCACTTTTGGACTGTTTGATTCTTCAAATTCAGGTTTGATCACATCAAATGAATGTACTCCTGACATTCCTGGGGTAGGATTGAATGTTTCGAAACTGGTGTTCGGTTTCGAATGATCGCCAGTGAGTCCACCCCATTCGTTCTCTCTCTTGCTCTGTGCCATCGTCACCGGCGAGCAGAGTTCTGGGCAGCTGGTCGAAGGGGAAATTTGATCGCCATCAACTCGATATGGAGCTTCTATTTGACTCGTAGTAATTCCTTCGACCTTGAGGAAGCCATCTGTGGTGATCTCGGACCTCGATCTTCCCTTGTCTTTGTCGACATCGTGGCTACATTCGGAGCTCTGTTTTGCAGGGGTAGAACAGAGATCGTGGCAGCCAAGTGCTTCTAACGCTGGAACTTTGTTTTGGAGCTTTTGAAAGCTCATAAAATTGAATCCGATACGCCTTTGCACCCACATCTGAGCTCCAGACTCCCCTCCCATGTTTCGTTTCGCCTCCATCTGCTTCTGATCATTGTAAACGTCATCCGGAGAAAGCGGTTTCAAAACAAACTTCTTACCTTGGTGCTGAAACTTGTAATAATTCGTCCATCCTTCATGTGTAACCTTTCGATCGAATTGCCACGGTCTACCAAGCAATAGGTGAGCTATTTGCATTGGTGCAATGTCACACAGAACCTCGTCCTCGTACTGTCCGAGATTAACGAACTAACACTTGTTTCGTCACATTGATCGTTCCATGTTCGTTGATCCAACTGATTTGGTAAGGTTGGGAATGTCTTTGAGTTGTCAATCCAAGCCTCTTGACGACGTCCAGACTTATGATATTTGCATAGCTCCCTCCATCGATCACGAGTGACACCAATTTCCCATCGATGAAGCATCTCTCGTGAAATAAGTTATCCCGCTGTTCGTCGGACTCTCTATGCTTGATGACGACTGTTTTGGACTTCTCTTGGCCACAATATCGAGCATGCTGCTCCTCCTTACTGCCCTCTAACAACTCCTTTGCTTGAAGGGAGTTTTCCATTGAAATTTCTCACGAAACAGCAGCTGCAAAACTTAAACAGGGGCTGTCCTGTTTTGGAACTCGAGAATCTGCTTGTACGAAATAGTAGGTTCTTCTTCTCCTATGCCCTTGTGTATAACGGGGTTCTGATACCACTTGATACGACCCTGGGGGGTGTATTTTTACCAAAGTAACGCAGCAAACGACTCAATCGAAGAATCGATTGAGCTCGAATCAAGAACGAAGCGCTCTTAATACGAACTTGGGATAAAACGGAACCAACGGACAATTCCACACCTGGGGAAAGCTCGTATGGTATAAAAGGGTAGCTTCTCGACCACGATTGAAGAGAATATTCAATCGATACAAAGCTCACAAGTTTGGAATCCACCAAACTCAAACAAGTCGCAACTTGCACAAAACCAAAGGGTTTGTTTTTCGATTAATCAAAGTCTGAATTTTTACAACGAAAATACAAGGCTATTTATAGCCAAGAAAACCTAATACAAACCTAGATGAACAAGAAAACTAATTAGAACAGAAAAAGGCTAAATAATTTGTGTAAAACAAGGTAACTTGCTGGCCAAGAAACTGACTTAAAACGCAAGCAAGTCTGCCTAGGAAAACAGGCTTCATAGCATCATTGAGCCCTTCGAAAATGGTCTTCTAGGTTGATTCAAACTCAACCAATTCCTTTCCTCCGTAGAAGAAAACTTCCTATTTCACCTCCAACTTGAATCCGCCCAAGATCATTCTCCAATCTCCAGATATAGGCCTTCAAAGTTGGTATCTCAAAACAGTTTTCTGCCTTAGCCAAATTCAGGCAGTTTTCCTGTTTTGAGGTAGCCTTTTGATGGGCTTTGAAAGTGACCTTCCAGACATCTCCTTGAGCTCCAAAACATACCAATGTAAAGATAATAACATTATCTTCAAAACAAGCTCTTAATCTCCCATTTTTATTGAGCCATTTGTGAGATACAAGCTTTCAAAGTAGTCTACCTGAAACTGTTTCAACACTTGGCCAAAAATCAGAATTCTTCATGTGAGTTGAGATGACTTCTTTGGTAAGTAATTTTGAATTGTTGATTGATCCAAGTGGGATCATATCAACACCTATCCACATCCACGTCTTCAATTGGAGGATGCAAACATGCTAGATACTAGGAAGTTTGGTTTGCGGGTTGCGGGTAACCCGCAAACCGCACTAAACCGCACACTTTGTGGATATCCATACCCACAATTTGTGGATAGTGGGTTGGGTGTGGGTAGCAAAATATTGATTTTTGTGGTTAGTGGTTAACTACTACCCACAACAGTTTACCCACAAAACCCACATTAGTTATATTATTTTGTGAAACTTGGAAGACTAATAATTAAGGTAGCTACTAAATCAAATACGTACTTATTCTATAAAACAAAACCAAGTCAATACGCAATGTTCATGTGAGATACTTTTATCAAATAAGCATTATCCGTGAGGTATATGTTTATTTTATAACAAAACAAAGTCCATAGATATAGTCAGATAAATTAATCGATTCGTTAGAAGAGGGAAATAATCTATAAAGGTTAGTTCGATACCCAAACTCATCTCCATTTCTCCATGAACTCACGAACAACACAACATGCAACTAGCTACAAACAATACAAGACTATGATCGAGAGTGGATAATAAACTATTCATTAAAAGCGGGTGCCTCCACTTATCGAGCCACTTTTGTGTTTTGTTGTTGTTGCCATCAGAGGAGCCGTGATATGCAACGATGTTTGTCTGGTAACGGGTCACTCCACCTCTCCGTTATCTTCAAATCTCTTTCGAAATCCATCTCTTTTGAATTTACACTAACTAATCTCTTGTATTCTAGATTTATAATTTATTTAACACTTTATTAACTTTCTTTTATGTATGTTTTTGTTTTTGTGTGAGAAGAAACACAACTTCATTATTTAATTACCATATTATTTTATTTAATGATAAAATTTTTGTGGGTATCCACAACAAACCCGTAGCGGATAGTGGTTAACTACTACCCACCACGGAACGGGTTGTGGGTAGCATAATTCTATATTTGTGGGTGAGGTTACCCGCAAAGTCCGTCAACATCCAAAGCTAACTTGGCTCAGGGCCCGTACAGTGATCAGGTTAGGACTTGTCCTTGAAAAGTCTAACCAGCTCTTTTTGGTCCAACCTTGGCCCGTTTTTTACACTCGACTATAGCGACAAATCTCAGTTCAGGCTGATGAAGTGAGATTTGTATCTCTGGGCCCAACCCAAACGGCCCAAGAGTTCCGCATCGCCATTCGCCACCACCATCACCATCTCCTCTCCTTCCATCCTAACCTACCGTCAGGGAATCACTCTTTCGAATTTTGCGCCACCGCCGACTGAAACCTTCTCTTTCAAACACCAATGTCGGCCGGAAACCTTCTAGCCTCCGGCATGATGCTGGAGTCGCTCTCTGCGTCCGGTAAGAGCTCCGAGAGGCTAAGCCTTCCGTTACTCCAATCCAAAATGAAGATCGACCCTGAAGGTTACACGACGGAGCTCGGTCTCATCTACAACCAATTCATCTCTGCTCTTGACCTGTTCAAGCAGCAGGCCGCTATCAGTTTCTCTTCCGGTGCCTGCGCCGACGCCAGCATCTCTAAGGAGCTCGGTGACCGCACTCTGTTCCTAGCTCACGTCGCGCCGTTCTACGCCAAGCAGCTCTCCCAGTTCCCCCGGCAGCTCGTCGAGTTCCTCAAGTCGTCGGCGCGGTCTCTACCGTTTGGATTGAGAGCCCACGTTACTCAAGCTCTTATTCTCCTCGTCAATCGACAGGTACGGTTTAATCGTCGGCGCCTGCTTTGATTTTAATTTGAATTTTTGTCGGTGAAATTTTGGTTGCAAAGTGCTTATTTTAGGACGCTACTCGATTTCCAGATGGTTGAAATTAGTGAGACTTTGGCATTGTTTATGGAGCTTCAAACTGTGGGAGATAGGAACTTGAGGAAATTGGCTTTCACCCATGTCATTCAAAGTATTAAGCGCATGAACAAGAAGCATAAGAATGAGACCAAGAATCGGGCTCTTCAGAATATCCTATTTACAATGTTACAGGTTCTTGCTCCTTCAATTCAAGCTGCTGATATTAGTTTGTATATTGCTTGGAAGTAATTTTGTTATTGAGATGATGAGTTGTTCTTTCTTGGGTTCCGGTGTTAACAGCAAGAGGATGAAGCATTGGCAAAAAGGGCGCTCAATACTCTGTGCGAGCTTCATAGGAGGAAGGTTTGGTTTGATGATAGAACAGCAAATGCAATTTGCATGGCTTGTTTCCATTCTTCATCAAGGTATGAACTTTAATACATGTCTTTTTCTATCAGCAGGGTGAAACATTTAAATCTCTTTAGCGTTGATTAAACAATATATTAATATGGTTGCTCTTCGATCTATCAGAATCATGATTGCCGCTCTGTCGTTTGTACTGGATTATGAAAAGATTCAAGAGGATGACGACAGTGACTGCGATGATTTGAGCAGTGATGATGAGGCCAATCCCCAAAATGCTCATATTGTCATTAGTAAAGAGGCTGTTTACAAGGTGACTTGATGAATAGGTTATGATGATGTTGTGTGCTTTGGTTGAACTATCTACAATTAGTTTGTTATGACAAGATCATAGCTGAATTGTTTTGAGTTATGTGACAGGCAAATCATTCAGGTACTTCAGCTAGTAAGAAGAAAAAGAAAGCAAAGCTGCAGCGTGCCATTCGTAGCATGAAAAGGCAGCAGCGGTTGTCTTCTGAGAAAAATAGTTCGACTTATTATTCACCACTTAACCATCTCAAGGATGCTCAGGTTATTGTTATCCTTATTGCCCTATGATTCTTGGAAATCTGTATGTTGGATTAAATGGAAAATTTCTTTTCTTGTAGGGATTTGCCGAGAAACTTCTTTCTCGTCTTCAGACTTGCAATGAGCGTTTTGAGGTATTGTGTGAATCTTGTTTACATTTTTTTTTTTTTTTGTGAGAAAACATAAACTCCATTTTGCTGATGATATACTTCTGGCCTCAGATTAAGATGATGTTGATGAAAGTTATTGCTCGTACTATTGGACTTCACCATTTGATTTTGCTGAACTTCTATCCTTTCCTACAGAGATATTGTCAGGTAAGAAACTTGACTGGTCCTTTATTGAAACCTTTCTGCATTGTTCCGATGGCAAATGGTAACCTAACCGTCTCTTTCTCTTCTGCAGCCACATCAGCGTGAGATCACAAACTTGCTTGCCACAGCTGTTCAGGCCTGTCATGATTTGGTAATGCAGTTTTTACATGGATGAGTGATCCAGAGAAAACTTGTCTTTGTTTCTTGGAATATTTGTCCTGTCTAAACTGTGCAAACACTTTGCCTTGCAGGTGCCTCCTGATGCGGTTGAACCTTTATTTAGGCAAATTGTAAATCAGTTTATACACGATGGTTCCCGTCCAGAGGTACCATTTCTGAAAGCTGTGTTATTTGTTTAATTGTCTCTTGTGAATTGGCTGCAGTAGTTTTCTAACTGGCTGTTGCTTGCTTCTTTAGGCAATTGCTGTTGGACTTAATGTCATCAGGGAAATATGTGTACGGATGCCTTTGGTAAGTGCTTTCCCCCCTACCAAACTTTCTATCTTGTTAGTATTTTTTTTTCTGCTTGGATAGGCGCTATAAGAAGGTAATACTAATGAAAATCAATTCTTTATTTTTGGTGTGTAGTTGATGACTGAAGACTTGCTCCAGGATCTTGTGTTATACAAGAAAGAACATCAGAAGGCCGTTTCTGCTGCTGCTCGTTCACTCATGGTCTTGTTCAGAGAGGTATGAACTTCAGTGTGTAGATTACTTTGGTAAAACGTAAGGAGGTACTTGTTTTAGAATTTTAGTAAAGTGAAGTAAAAATGTATTTGGTTGGGTGTTAATGTGTTAGAAGGGTTGAGTTGATATTGATGAGGTGTTTCAGTAATAAAAAAGTGATTGATGAGATGATGGATAGTTTTTTTTTTTGCCTTCTTGAATTGATAGATAGTCATAGTTTGTTAATAAGAAAGAGATGGGTGAATTTTGGGGAATACCTAATTTTAATACAACTGCGAAGATTTATTGTTTCAAGGATGCCAAGTGAGATTATATCAGTGAGGTGACTTCTAAGTTCTAATAATTTGTGACATTTAGGGTGAATAGTAGTTCTAGAATGTCAGATTGAAGAATGAAGACATTTTGTTTGTTTTAGCTTTCAAGTCCATTTTTGTAGAAGTTACTTATTTTTCCCCCGTCCTTCCTCCTTTCATCTACTTTTTGTAGGTCTGTCCTTCACTTTTGGTTAAAAAGGATAGAGGTCGACCAGTAAACCCAAAGGCAAGGCCAAAAGCATATGGAGAAAATCATGTTGCCTGTGCAGTTCCTGGAACCGAATTGCTAGAAGGTGATTATAATTCTGATAGTGATGATAAAACTGACGATGATAGAGATGACGAATCTCAATTCCATGGCTCTGAGGATGATGATGATGGTGTGCCGGCTGCAAGTGACGAAGAGGAAGCAAATGGTACGGAAGATGAGGATGGAGGAAGTGACGACGAAGATGATTTACTAATCGGCTCAGATGATGGCGAGAGTGAGAACAGTGTGGATGAAAATGACAGTGATCTTAGCAGTGATGAAGGAGATGATGAAGGAGATGAAAATAATGGTGATTCTGAGAAAATGGATGATGCAAATGATGGTGCTGAAGTAAGCAATTCGAAGTCAAATAAGAGAAAGCGATCTGATGTGGATGAAAAACTACTTGCCTCTGTTGACTCGAGTCTCCGAGCTCTAAAAAGATTGGCAGAAGAGAAGTTTAAACCTCAACAGGACGAAGGAGAAGACGGTATTCTGTCTAATGAGGACTTCCGAAGGATTAAGCAACTGAAGGTATGTTCAAGGTTTAGATGAATGTAGATTGGAAGTGAAATTTGATTCATAGCCCTCTTCCATATCTGCAAATCCTTGATGCTTTTTGTTGGACTTTCCAGGCCAAGGAGGCGGCGAAACGTGCTTTGGGTCAGCACGGTTTCAAGCAGTCAACCTCTGACCCGACAAAGCCTCTGGACCCTAGCAAGCTCGAGGCAAGACAAAACAAAACACTTCTAATTGATTCGATCTTGCATGAACTATTATGTAAGTCTGTTTAGATGTTAACAATCTTTGCTTCCTCACTTCAATCAGGCTCACATCCGGCACAAGCTAAACAAGGAACAAAGACTTGCACTGGTGAAAGCCGGAAGGGAAGATAGGGTTAAGTACCAGTCTCGAACTGCTATAAAACAGAACAAGGTACGTATGTGCCTGATCATTTTGAGTTTTTATTTCCTTTTTACGAATCTTAAATCTGCAAGTAATTATAATATGATTGGTTCTGGGAGCAGACTGGTGGCATGAGCAATCGACAGAAGGAGCACAAGAAGAAGATGCCTCTGGCTGCAAAGAGACACAAGATAGCCAAGTCTCAAGTGGAGAAGCGGAAGAAGGTCGATCGCCTCGGTAAACAGTTCCGCGGCAGGAAAGCATGGAAATGAGCATGACATGTGACATGAACGAACCTGAGTTTCGTTTCCCTTGCAAATTTTTGAAATTTTGGTTCCTCATTGCAATGAGCATCGACTATTTATTACGAAAACAGAGTCTTAGTCGGGATGTCAATCTGTACAATTATGTACCATGATCTTCATTCAGCATTTTGACAAGTAGGTACCATGAACTTCATTCCTAACATTTTCAAATGATATCTACAAGAATGGTATGAAAAAAGTATATCTAGGCATAGTGCTCGCGAGCGCCTAGTTTTGAATTGCTTATGATCGGGCATTTTCAGATGGGATTACATGCAACCTATGCCTTTTGTCCGTATCCGTTCAGTTCATGTTCTATCCATTCTGATTTTCGTCATCCCTTCATACCTAAAATAGTTCTAACTTCATGTTGGATAGTCTGAAATAAATATCACTGAAATGGAATGGAATGGGGTCTGGACTGATTGTGGCAGACCAAGATTTCCCTCCTACCAGAATGTCCATGGGAACGCTACTACGGGGGCATTGTCGAGGTCAATTCACAGACAGACACCAAAGGGAAGGAAGATATGGAACATAAAAGAATAGCTAGAAAGCCAAAACGTGGAGCCTACAGCCTAATTAAGTTACACACCATAACACAGCTGGTTCTGCTTAGTGCTTGCCTACTCTTCTTCTGTCGAAGAAGAGGACGAGGTTGAATCGACTGCAGTGGTGGTTTGGCCAAATATGTCCGGGATCCCATCCCAATCCTTCCTCTCTCTAGCTTCCCAGTACCCACCAGTGTAATGATAACAACCCTCCTCGTCTCTCCGAAACCACCTCGGCTGCCATCCTCTTTCTTGCACCTTCCTTGCCTGCACTTACACGATAACAAAGCTTAAAACTTGGCACATTCGCCTTCTTATACGCGCAACAACCAAAGCAAGATTTGCATTGAATCAACTTGGTTCAGGTGTGGACCTACTCGAACCAAAGCATGATTTGTATTATATCAACTTGGTTCAGGTGTGGACCTACTCGAACCAAAGCATGATTTGTATTAAATCAACTTGGTTCAGGTGTGGACTAACTCGAACCAAAGCAAGATTTGCATTGAATGTGAACCGAATCGAAACTGAGAAAGAATGTGCTTTCTTCGATTACGATCCTCGCTTTCCTTCTATTTTTTATCAGTTCTTATGTTGATTCAGTCTGATCCTTGACCGGACCGACTATGCAGCGCGCTTAGCTTCATTGAGTGAGTCAATCATGGAAAGGAGTCAATCAAGGAAAGGAGAATATACCATACCTGTCTTTGTAACTGCTCAAGTCTCAGCTTTTCTGCATTTGCCAACTCGTACTCCCCGTTCTCGAGGAACCTTTGATCTGGCCGCAATCTAGAGTCAGTGGGTGGCAATTTGCCCGACAATCCAGGAGTGATCTCGTTTAAAGTTACGGCAAAGGGAGTGAGGTTGTATCTCGTTCTGGTGACTGATTTGTCTCTCTCCCATAGCAAGACGGCTTCCGTCATTGGGTCATAACCCTTTGGCTTCGTTGTCGGATCTCCCAGCACATAGTACATCGCTTCGTCCCACTTCCCAACCAGCATTGCCACCTTCTGTCCAGTCCTATTGTCCTGTACAAATCCATGAACCTGCAAGGACAAGGAGAAAACACATATGTTTCCATGTGAGATCACTGTGTTTGGCGCAATTTTTCCCCATGAGTTTTCTGGTTTCAAAAACCACAAGACAGGCCAAACATTGGAGTTAGTCGAGATTCTCAAAAGCTCTAAACAGAACCTCAATAGTTGTTGTATTTGTTTGTTCGCGGATATGAAGATTACCTGGTGGGGATTTCGATCTATGATTGACTGCTCCTTGAACTTCAGTCTGCAGGAGTAGGTGCCACTGCCTTTGATTCGCATGGTGCCGTAGTGATCACAGTACAGTTTGCCTAGAATGATGTTGTATATAGACGTCGTCACTTTGCTCCATTGGAAGGTCTCACCGTCTTCAAATCGAAGCGTGAGAATGCCGACGGGATCGAGTTGAATAGACCTCCCCCAAAATTTGCCCTTTAGATTGGAGTCTCCCCAGAATGTCCACCCTCTTCCCTCACAGTGGCAGGCGACAACCATTGGGTGGTGACTGACCTGAATACAACAAACAGCTCATCAACCTATTTTCCTGGTGCTGAAATAGAGATCACGTAGTTGTCATCTACTTGCAGGACAATGCAATACAATGAGGTCGTTTGACTGATGGATTTCTAGTGCAGAATTATGCCCAAAATCCAGAGTGGGTGGATTATTATTAAATCAATTGTTTGGCTCACCAAAATACAATAATGCACTTTATCCATTTGTAAATCATACCCCACCACCTAAAATTGGGAAGTCCATCAGACCACTTAAACCATGTTATCCTTTTTTAATATTACAAGAGATGACATATTGATACTTCACATTTAATTATGAATCCCATCCACACTACACTTACAACAGTCCCCTCAAAAAATTTATCAACCCTATAGATTTCTACAACTATTATTACTGAATCAATCAGCCAAAAAACCCATGATTCCAAGATGCTGAATCTGATTAAGTATACCATGGATTAGGTAAGGTATGGATATGCGAGAGGCAGACCTTTTCAGAAAAGAAACGCAGGCCTTTATCTGGATAATCAGCTTCGTAAGTCTCTCCAAGTAGAGGGTTGAACGGCTTACATTGGCGGCCTTCCGTTGAGGCATACCCAGATACAGCAAAAGCCGCAATATTCAGAATTCTCATCAGGTCATTCCCCTGGACAGCATAAAGCCCATGTAAATATGAACTGAAAAGTAATGAGTCTTAGATGATGCACGGTAATCAAGATGTTAGACGAAAGCAAAAGCTAAGCAAATCCTGACCTGCTTTCCCCATTCCAATGCTTGATCGACCAAATGTGAGTACTCCAAATCCTCAAAGCACTTCTGGAGGGAGGATATTGGTTCATTAAAATATACAGGAAGACAAACTCCAGACAAGTCCTTCCCGATGTTGTCCTTGATAATGGACCACAGGCCAACGGGCTTCTCTTTCTCCTTTGGTTCCGGCAAATTGTCTCGTCTCTTAACCAATGGATATTCAGTTGTCACAATATTATCCTTCTGAATGTGTTGCAAGCGATCAGAGCAAAAAACGTCCTTGTCATGTATACATGCACTCCCCACTGAATCCCTAGTACTCCTATACGAAGTGCTTCTCATTAGAGCATCAACAGACAAGAAATCGTTTGTGTCAAAGAACTTCCTGTCTTCTTCATCAGTTTCAGCACCCATCCCATCTTCTTGACTTTCGTTGTCAGCATCCGAGTCACTAGCACTGCCTTCTGACATCACCGAATAGAAATCTAAGACAAAGAGGGAAACATATGAATATCAGCATATATTTTACACTTTTTGAAGATGAGCCACCAGGAGGACTTTTACCATGCAGAAATAAAGAAACTAAATACTGAATATGAAAACAGAGCTCTAATGCTAGGCACATGTGTCCTCGTTCCGTCGTTTTGTAGCACCGTGTATCGCAGACATGAATTTTAAGAAGATACACATATTGTAGATGTGAATACAAGGATATGTGAAATGTCTAGAATACAGTGTTTAGTTTGTTGGATTCCAATGGTTAACCCCACACAATTGGATGTATTGCTGAAATCTTCAATTCCAAAATAATTCATATTGTGTATTCTGAAAATAGATATGGCTGAAAAACATGGGTTTCGTACCATATTCAAACAAGAAACAATGACTTCGTCAGAAACTATGTAGTCACTTAATCACCGAGAACAACTGCTGGTTACCAAGCAAGGTTGATTACTGTGATGTCAGCTTATAACAGATTCGAACCTTTCACATTTACATGCAACCTAACTAAGTGAACCATCAACAAGCTTCACATACAAGTAGCAATAACAGAATGGTCAAAGGGGTCTTCATTCAACATCAACTATTACACAAATATAGACAATCAATTCCGATATCGTAAGAAATAGTAAGGTATAACATGGCAATGCTAAAGATCATGAAGCATACAACTGACCACTGAATCTTCTGTTTACTTGTCCACAATATGACTCCCGCTCTTTTGTCTCATCCACTACTGTAGTTTCCAACTCTATTTTCTCTGTCTGTTAAGCAAAGCACAGGAGACCAAATCATGTTCAAGCAAGAGACGAAAAAGAAAAGGCATTAGGCAATGTTCAAAATTGAGGGCACCGAACCTCTAATTGCCTTAAGGTATCCAAAAGAATGGCATGTTTCCTTTGCAGAGACCTCATCTGGTTTTGAAGCTCGTCCAGCTCGGAGAGCATAATAGCCTCACAGTCTTTAACAACCACTTCACCAACTCCTTCCTGCAGCAACCGTGATCTCAGCTTCTCAGTCGAGACAACTACATCTTCAGCCGAGGAGAAGTCAGTGCTGGTCAACACCCTGGGGAACCGATCCTTAGCTGTGTGCAAAGCATCGAGCCATGCAGCTCTATCATCTCTTGTGATGCAGCGCAAGTGAAGTGTCTTTGTTCCAGAGAATATCGTCAGCCTTTTGTCATCGGACTTACTGGCTCGTACGGAAGAAACCTACAACCCAAAATAAGTCCATAGAGAAAGAGAGAACTCAGCAAGCTGAAGCCATGAAACACGTATGACTAACACTCTAGCAGTATCCACTGCAAGAAAAAATCTAAACTTTCCTTCTGAGATCAGCAAATTCCTGCACATTTGATCTACCCTTATATTTTCTCCTACAATGGCTTCCAACAGAGGAGTTCTCAACCTTCTAAACCATTTCACTAAGTTCCAAGTGCAGCAAGTAGACAAAGAAAAGAAGCGGTGAAAAGCCAGGGGAAAGAGGAAAGGGGGGGAAATCCGAAAATGACAATGGAGAAAGGAACAAGAAGAAGTATTTTTTTTTTTCCTCAATAAATGTACCTTCAAATGGATTTCGCCGAACGGCTTCCACTGCCTGGAAGCCAAAGCAGGGAACCGATTGCTGCTGCTGCTTCTATTCCAATTCGCTTTCCTGACAAACCTCAACGATTCCTCTCCGATCACCTGAACGCCTTTCCCCCTCCCGGAGCCAATCGAAATCTTGTCAGGGCCGTGAACTTTATAGTAAGACAGCACGCCGTCTTCGAGAACGAACCACCGCGACCTCCACCCTTTCCCGTAATTGACCCATTTGTAAAGAATCCCCGCCACCGCGCCGACATTGTTCCCCTTCAAATCGATCGATTCCTCCCCGTCGCGGCAAGCAGCAGCAGAAGCCGAGAGCCGGTCGAATTCAGTGCCGGCGGAGGAGACCTGAGCTGAGAAGCTCGGCTTCGAGGCGTGACTGACAGTATTGCCGGAAAGGGGGAAATCAGCTGCGAGATGGGAGTGGTGGTGGGCGGCGGATTTGGCGGCAATAGGGTTGGCCCGATCTCGATCGACGGAAACGGGAGCAATGCAGCAGAGAGGGTTCATCGTTTCCCCGTCTGGGGATTTTTTTTCCCCCCACCACAGATTCACGAAATTGGGCGTTATGGAGGGAGAGAGAGCTCCGGCGGAAAAGGCATGAGGAGAATGAGATCGCCGGAGGGAGGAGGAAAAGGTGGGGGAGGGGAAGTTAGATGGTGATAATGGCGGAGGTGGTGGTGGAGCAGAGCGCACTGAGATCCATTTTAATGGTTGGCAGTGGGGAGCAGTGATGGCAGAGAAGAGGAGAGGAGAGAGGAGCAGAGTACTAGAGTTTCTAGAGTACAGAGTAGAGGAGAAAAAGTGGGCAATGGTTCCGTTTTATGACAGAGTTTCGGTTCGACCGATTTTCACTTTTTTGTTTACGTTTTTTTTTTTTACAGGACAAACAAAAATTAAAATGAAATTTTAATTTTAGGTCTCGTGATAATCTATTTGTAACAGCAAAACATCACTGAATTGTATCGATCGATTTAGGGTTGATAACAAAATTTGTTCAGTTTTCACATAATTTTGCTCTCGAAATATTGGCATCGCAGATTTCACTAGTTTAAACCATGTCTTATCTTGGGTATGGACAGAAATGAAAATTTTTTGCAGCCAAGAACATAAATAATACAACTTATTTTATGGACGGTCATAGCATATATACAAAATTAGCGTTAATCTTAACAACATTTTATTATGTTTTTAACAATATAATGACTACACCATACACAATCCATTGAAAACCGATAAACCATAAAAAAATCATTTCATCACAAACTAATTTTATCAATTATTGAATGTGGTTCTACGAATACTGGTTTTATCAAAACCGTAGCAAATGAATCGAGTTCGGTTTGGTTCGAGTGTGGAAAGAAGTTAATTGATTTTGGGTGAGAGGAGAAGAGTGGAGGGAGGGAGACAGCTAACGTGCGCATTATTATTTGTTGATTGTGAAAGGTGGAGGGGTAATGGGGATTGGGGGGAGGCAGGAGTGGGATCATCGGTTATTGTTTTGGTCGGGTTACAAGAAGAAGTAAGTAGGTTTATGCAAGAAACAACATAAGAGACGGGGAAAATAGAAGAATTTGACTTCGTTTTTTTTTTTTTTTCTTCACGTAAATGAAGTGAAAAATGGAATTAGAACAAATTGAACCGTTGATTATCAATGTATCGATTTAGTTTGATGTAAAGTGAATTGCCACTTGAGTCGAATTGGAATGATTTTTTTTTTTTTTTTGAAAAGAAGTCGAATTGGAATGTTGAACGAATTATAACAAGAATGGATGGTGTGATTACTAATTAGGGAATTATGAGAGTTTTTTTGACGGGAAAGAGTTGTTGGTTGAGATCAAGGTTGTCAAATCGGTTTAAATTATTGAGTCGGTCAAGCAAAGGGTTTGAGATTTAATGGTCTGATCGGGGTCCGACCGATTTGAGTCGTTTTAGACTTTTTCTAAATATATATACAAATAAAGTAGTAATTAAAGATTTAATGAATGAAATAAAATTTATCTTCTATATATCCATTAGAAACTTATTTTCCACAAAATAAATCTATCTAACCTCCATGATCCACCTACCATTTTCTAAATATATATTTAGACTTTTTCTAAATATATATACAAATAAAGTAGTAATTAAAGATTTAATGACTTTATCTTCTATATATCTATTAGAAACTTATTTTCCACTAAATAAATCTATCTAACCTTCATGATCCACCTACCATTTTCCTTCCTTCGTTCCTCTTCCTCTCTTCCCCCTCTCTCTTTCTCCTTCTTTAGGAGTCAGACTGAGTGGCTTTCTGGAAGCCGTTTTTAAGTCCTACTCGGGTCGGACCGGGTCTAACCGGGAGTTCGATAGGGGTTTAACAACTTTGGTTGAGATCAAAGATTTAAAAACTGTACGATAGTGGCGATTCGAACAGAAAACCATTATATATCAAAGGCTAAATGGATAGTCGGTATTTAACAGTATGAAATATTCGAACCATAATTTCAGCATAAAATAATTTATCGTTAACTTTTCCCGTGCAAGGTTTGACCATACTTGTTGAGATTTTTTTATTTTGGTGCGTTAGGAAGTTGGGGTTTTGTGGCATTTAAAGATTTAAGGGCCGACGCTCCATTTAATTGGATCATAAATGCTTTCGCAGGCTTTCAGGTTTCTTGGGCTCTGTGGATCCAAGGTACATCAATAAGGCCTTCCGTTCACTTTTCTTGCCTCAAATGTTGTTTCTAGCTGCCGTATGGTTAATGAATTGTGAGTGAATAAGGCTGTCAAGACAAACTATTCTGTCGGTGAGGTTATTTTGTCAACGCAACTGGGTGCTTACATATGCGATTATGCAGCTGGCCCAACAACATGTTGCTTACTCTTCCGCTGGGTTGAGTTGCCCAAATTCAATTTAGTGGATATCTATTAAAAAATTGATAAAATATATATTGAGTTTTAGAATAACAAATCCAACTCAATAGGTACTCATGGATGATGGATTCACAAACATAAATACACAACTATATATTATTCATTTGAACACCTATTGTTTCGGTCTAGATTGTGAGACCCGGTTGATAACGATAATTAGGGGCTCTAATTCAGACTCCCTCGTTCGATCTCTTCGGGAGGTGAGGAACCTGTGAAGGGGAAAGGGGTGCCCCTGGCCCCCTTGATCTACACTATGATGTCCAAATTAGTACGATATAACAATTGTGATATGTGAATGTAAAGAGAAAGTTTAGAGAGAGACCTCAAGGGGAGAGTACGGGAAGGAGAGATGATCTCTTATTCGGAGGGCTTGAGCATCCTTATATAAGAGTCTGGGCCTCCGGTGGGTTTGAGCCAGATGTAAGACGACTTCTAGTGGGCTTGGCCCGTTGATGTAATCGTTTGTTGTATTAGACATATGAGCATCGTATCCCAGCAATTGTCTTTTACTACTTGTATTTTGTAAGAATGAAAGAAGTAACATAACACGTTAATATGTATTAATTTGCCTTACTTGTGAGTCCGGACGTTGTGATTGCGCCCCTTGTTTGAGTTGCATGACTATGAGCATATTGCTGCTAGGGCTAATAGGTTATGATTATGAGCATATGTGTTAAACTGTTGGACTGCGCGATGGACATAAGCTTGTGTGCCTGTTGAACATAAGTTGTTGTTGGCTGACTATTAGGCGTTAGCTATGTGCCAGGGAGGATGGGCCCAACTACATGAGATTTTAAATCAAGACGTTTTTGTGTCTTGCTGCCTGTTGAACATAAGTTGTTGTTGGCTGACTATTAGGCGTTAGCTATGTGCCAGGGAGGATGGGCCCAACTACATGAGATTTTAAATCAAGACGTTTTTGTGTCTTGCCAATGCCATTTCCTAGAGGCAAGAGCCTCGATCCTCGCGTAGAGGTTGCATTTGATATGTTTTTTTGTGAAATTTGATGGCTAATGCCCAACATATTTAGAATGTAATATGAGCATAGCATGCTCCTCTTCCTGTCATGGCATTTGAGATATATTGTTGAAGAAAATACTTAGCTTAGTTTGGAAGTAAGTTGTAGGAGAGGCAATTGAAAATTGGTTCAAATGTGGGCGTTGCAAATGGGATGCACAAACTGGCCTTGTAGTATGCTCGTTAAAGCAAGCATACGTAGGGTTGTCAATTTGGTTTGGTTTGGTTTGGTTAACTAAACCATTAAGTATGAAAAACCAAAACCAAAAACCAAATTCTCAAAACCCAAAACCATTAAGGCCCTTATTGGTTTTCAGTTGCCAAAAACCAATAAGAGCTTTAATGGTTTTGGTTTTGGTTTGGATAACCAAAAAACCAACATGTACTCATACACTCATATTTATTCCCATTTCCCTCCTTTTTATTGAATAAATGTCATATAATGGTAAATAGCCATTACAAATTATTGGTTAGCATGCGTGTCAAAAGAAACAACAAAAAATATTTGTTGATAAATAATTTTATTCTTATTGGTTTCTTAATAATTTCTATTGGTTTTTCAATTTTAACCAAACCAAAACCATTAAATTGCTTATTGGTTTAAAACCAAAAAACCGAAACCATTAGCTTTTCAATTGGTTTGGTTTTGGTTAAAACCGAAAAACCAAAACCAAATGGACAGCCCTAAGCATACGTTACATCACACTATTTCTATGAATATTTTTTGAGAGTTAGCAAGTGCAACTACAACTAAAATTATGGAGGATCCTTCCTGAGAGGATACTCTGCAACTATGGCCAGAGATGAAAAAGATAGACAAGATACATTGCTCTTCTGTGTTTTTTTTTTTATCTCTTCTCCAGTAAACTGCTTCGAGTTTTGTAGTGGAAAACTATCCAATTGCCCTCTCTCTACTCTTCCCAAAAAGTAGCTCCAGCTTAGCATCTATGCGAATCGGTTGCCACAGTAATTATTCATCATAACATTATGTTAGATTGGATGGCATCCATATTATTTGATGACATCATCCACTTAGGGATTGGACGATTTCTATGTAGAATGAGATGATATCATCCACTCAAAGGTTGCCTGATAATTGATATCTATGAAATGAGATGATACCATCCAATTAGAGGTTCAATGATATTCATGTAAAATGAGATGATACCATCCACTAATGGACTAAATGGTATACATGATATGAGATGATAATATGAATGTATCTACCAAAAATATTTCTAAATTTGTAAGCTAGCATAATCCACTATGCATGGGCCAAGTTATTTAAAGCAACCCAACTATCCATAAATAATAATGTGGTTGCTAAAGAAATTATTTTTGGTGTAAACAAATTCCCCCAACTTAGTTTATAAGAAATTATTGAATAAGTTGTTAATACTAATTACATCATTTAAAAAGAAAGGACATCTCTAGATGTGGCTTGCCAAACGATAATGAACATAGGTTAAGAAAACCGCTACTCAAGCCATTGTAAAACCTGGCCAGTTATGTCACTACTTCAAATGGATTTTCGTTTGGCAACGTGGGTCATACATACCCATGCTCTAGCAATGCTA